GAAAAAAAAAAAATGAAGTAAACTTTTATTTATTGTCGTTGTCCTGAGTAACCAACATTTCTTCTTCAATTTTTGAGGGAGAGAGAAAGAGAGAGAGGGAGAGAGAAAGAGAAAAGATGAAGAGAGGTTTTAATAAAATTCTTAGTCATCAATTCTTAACTTAGTCAACGATGGATTGCTGTTGTCTTGGTAACTAAAACCTAAATAGAAATTGTGTTAAGAGCAAAAAAGGCTTTTTATTGACTTCATTTTCTTCATTACTCAAATAGTTTTAGCTAATTTTTCATTTAACACAGAAATATATTTGTTAATTAAAATAAGTTAAAAAATAAATCTATTTCATAAAAAAAAAAAATGTATGAATTCATTTGAAATGGAATATAAATTTTATTTTAGGTAAAATAAAATTTATTTTTGCAGTAATTTTAATATTTGAATCATTTCAAATTAATTTCGATTATCGTTTTTTATTTATTACCAGTTGGAAATGCAATTAAATGAATCGAGCATTAATTTTTATTCAATTATCATGAACTATTCCATTTTTTTTTCTTTTTCAATTTTGTAGCATAAAATTAAATTACTTAAAATTTTAGCAAAAAAAGGAAAAAAAACTAATCACTTCATTATCAAACGAATTTTAAAATAGTATTACAAATGTATTTCATTGCATACTAATAATGCCATTAAAATACATATGCACCAATGCGCATTAGTCTGATATGTGCAAATGCGCATTAGTCTGATATGTGCAAATGCGCATTAGTCTGATATGTACAATTGCGCATTAGTCTGATATGTGCAAATGCGCATTAGTCTGACATGTACAATTGCGCATTAGTCTGATATGTACAAATGCGCATTAGTCTGATATGTGCAATTGCGCCTTAGTCTGATATGCACAATTGCGCATCAGTTTAATATGTGCAAATATGTTTTATTCTATGATATCTAAAAAAAGATGAAATAGACATGCATTATTTTAATTCTTACCCAATTTACCATATGCAAATTTTTTTTCATTGTTTTTAAAATTTGTTTTTAAACTATTTTGAAATTATTTTGTTTTGTTGAACATTTCCTATTCAAATAAATTGCAATTTCAGGGTTTTAATTAATTAACGACAATTAATTACTTACTTAATATCATCATTTATTATTCCTAATGTCAACTAATGAATGGACCAGTCATAATTTGGAAAAACAGGTATATTTTGTTTTCCTTATTTTTTTTTTTTTTTTTAAATTCATCTAATGCATATGTATTTGTAATCGTATACAATTTCATACATTTAAATATTCCAATTCCTGCAAATGAAAACATATCCCGGAAAACCGAATATAATAATATTCAATTTATTATTCCGGTTAAGTTATCTTTGTGAAAACTAATCCGATAACGTACAAAATGCATTCATTCAGATGAATTTATTCAAATTAATTTTTATAAACAAAAATATAAGCTTAATTAGCGAGAAGATTTAATTTAAGAAGTACCATGAGTTAACGGAAATTTATGAGAAAGATTTACTGCAAGTGTATAAGATACAAATTTTGGATTGCATATTGATTTGAAAAGAAAAAAGTATGACAAAGAGATAACAAAATGTCATTGTTGTCAACTTCAGGAAAAAAAAATTAATACTGAAAGAGATGAGACATTTTAAAAAAAAAAAAAAAAAAAAAGATTAAGCAATAAAATAAATGAATCAAAGGATCTAATGATGCAAAATGCCTGATGGCTATATCATCCTTACTTGGCTCTCAAGTTATATTACATTCACTTGGCCGAAGTCATAATTCTTGCTTTTTTTTTTTTCTTAGAACTTACTCCTTTAAAATATGAAAAGAATTATTTTAGTCTATTTTATTTTTTGGTTTTTTTTTTCATTTTTTTTTTTAGTGATAAAGTAAAATTAGCAATAGTTGATATTCTCCAATATCATGAAATGAATGATGAGGAATGTCATTTAGGAATTGCATTGACCTTTGGAATTATGATGACCTCGGATTATTTGATTATTAATAAATATTATTGAATAAAAGTTATAAATTAATTCCAGGTTATCTGGTTCTTTCCAGTTTATAATATATAAATCATTAGCAATTACAATGATTATTCTTCGAACATTGCAAACATTAATTAATAATAGAATTAATTAGTGAATGATAATGATGTCATCCAATACGATGCTAATTACTAATAATATATAATTAATATAATATATAATATATAGTGCGATTAATTATCAATTCACTTATTGGCTATATTATGATTGCAAATATAACACATAGGTGTTGTAACTGTGATTGGATATCAACAGAAATGATCATAATTATGATAATTAATTAACATTTAATAGCCATAAATTCTACCTGAATGGTTTTTTTTTTTTGCTCTTCGAATCTTTTCAAAAATTTAATTCCCCTTAAAATGAAAAGTAAACATTTATATATGATATTGATTTTTCGAGTAAATATTTTTCAAATTTATTCAAAATTGAATTTTTTTTTCCGTTAAAAATCAGCAAACTATTCATGAAGAAAAATAATGTTACATGTACATTTCACATTTGAAGCTAAAATTTTATTTGCTAATTTCTGTTTACATTTTAAAGTAACAATTCAAAGAGCTAATTTCAAATTTACCTATAAATTTTAACTTCAGTCGTCGTTTTTTTTTTTTTGAAACTTCACCGAAATTTAATTTTCCATTTTAAATTTGATTTTTAATATTTTTGTTTCCATTGCTTATTTCATCCATTCTTTCAATTTAATTTTCACTTTTATTAGTTACTTTTTTTTAAAGTTTTTCAATATAATTTGAAAAACTTTCAATCCTTTTAATTTACAACCTGTTCTTTAATCAGCTTGTCATCATATCCTAGAAAAAAAAAAGCTTAATTTTACGAATGAAAAAAAATTTTTAAATCTTTTTTGCTTATTTATATTATGCCTAATCAATAACTATAAGCTATCAGAGCAATTATAATTGATAAAGTTTATCTATTATTTGTCACCTCTTCTTCTGTCTCCCTATCATTTTACAATGATTTACGATTAGCATTTCTCTTTTACTATCATTTTTTCATTTAGAAAATCTTTTAATTTTAAAAATTTATCATTTTAAATGTATGAAAGAGAAAAGAGAAATAATTAAATCCTTCGTCAAAACTATTTTCGAAATGAGAAGAGATTAAGCGGGTAATAAATGTTATTTGACTTAAAATGGACATAAGACGAGGCTAAGCAGGTCAACAATAATTATTTGACTTAAAATGGACATAAGACGAGGCTAAGCAGGTCAGCAATAATTATTTGGCTTAAAATGGACATAAGACGAGGCTAAGCAGGTCAACAATAATTATTTGACTTTAAAAAAAAA